CAGAGGGGCTTCCTGAAAAGAATGTCTATCTTGTGATGCGTATTTCCTCAAAATTGCACAAAACAAAAATAACGGATAGTTGCCAGTTTTTTAGGGGCAAACTGACATTTGACTGTTAGCCCGCCACACAAAAATGTTTGAAAATAGAACTAAAATGTGTTCATCACTTGTCTAATTAAATGTATATTTTTTTATTTTATTTACGATTTTGAAAACATAATGATCATGAAAGTCGAATATGCAACTGACATGATTTTTTTCACAACCCCCCCCCCCCCCCCCTAAAGTTCTAGATATGCCACGGGAACAAGTCATCTAGTCGATTTTTGATACATGCGTGTTCTGAAAATAAAGGTTCACGAGATAAAACAAATATGGGCTACCCTACATTATATTTGTAAGTGCAGAGTCACATGCGAATGACGTGGAGATATAAAAGCAGGCATTTCCAATTTGTTTAATTGCGTTCGTGTTCTGGCCTAAAAATAACAGCAGTAGGATGGTCTGCAGCATAAAAAATAAAATTCTACCCTTTCCAGAATGCTTTGACTGTTTTTGATACGGATATAAATCGATGCATAAAATACCAACATTACAGTTCTTTATTTGAAAATCTATTTCCTGTAAATACATGTTGGATTGATGAAAAAAAGTCAAATCGGGACTAGGAAATCCATGTGCAGGTGGTGTTTTTGAAACAAGAAACAAACTTCCTGTATTTTCAGTGAGTGAAAGCGATTAGATGGTTAATCCAACTTTTCAGGTAGAAAGAGACAGACCCGAGTTGAAAAGAAATTGATATCGTTCTCAGTCGAAACGATCGTTGCTACAAAGAAACATGAATTTAAGAAAATATAATTTTCTACTTATGACAGGTTCGTAACCAGGTAAGTTTCAGTGCGAAATGAACTTGAGAAAATAATCTTGATCTACAGTACTTAATTGAAATGGTACGAATAATTAAGTAATCAAATGTTTTGATGGATTGACATTTTCACTTCTCAGAAATCATAATAAAAAATACAAATTTATTGAGAATAAATATACGTAAAAGTCATAAGTAGCACTTTATTTGATAAGTATGCGACATTATACAAAACTATCCGTATTTTCAACGCTTAATACGATGATAGAATTAAAATACGTGGTTTCCATTTAGAAAAAATCAACAGGTTCAATTTTCCTTATTTTTAAAACCACAAGTTTTACCATTATACTAAAGTATATACCCTCCGTTACCAGTTGTATGACAGACATAAATACAGAAAAAAATTTTTTGACTCTGCATTTGTCATTTTGTTTATATAAAATTCGAGATATCTCAGAAACGCCTAGACATAAGCATACATGAAATACTTGTAGAATCCCCGCCGAATCAAAAAATTGCATAACGCACAAAGTATCCAAATTAAAAGGAACAAGATTTACTTCAGGTACCTACAACCAAAGGTGGCGCCATTTTAAAAGTTATACTTAGGGCCGTATCGTCAGTCGTTCCTACAATTGTAGGACGACTTTATGGTCTCCTATTTTCATAGTTCTTCTTATCTTTCAGGCAGGGGTTTTTCTAGACTTCTACTGTTTTATGTCACCGCTCTATTTTGAGATTATATTTTCTTTTCGAATTCTAAGTAATTTCAGGCTGATAAAACTTCTCAAGATTCAAAAAGAAAACATAACCTCACAATAGGAGAGCGCCCACACTGACACGGAACCGTAGAAATCTGAAGAAGAAAAAAAACTGTGACACTGAAGGAGGCCATAGACGCGTCCTACAAATGGTAGGAGCGACTGATGACACGGCCTTTAGTTCGTTTTTTTTTTTGAAACTTCACTTAGACTAATTTTTCATGATTACAGTCCTGTGTTTCAAGAAGAACAGTAAGTTGTCACCGAAGCAATCTTTCCGTAGCAATATTTCGATTACTCGCCGTTTCTTTTTTTTTTTTTGTTCTCTGAACGAAATTATTGGGTCAATGCCTTCTCAAGGTGATTCTCGCTATAGATGAGATACACCTGAAACTACTGCAGTAAGAAGATATGTTGGTTCAATGTTTCGAAATCGTTAAACTTGTTTTTGTACATAAAATGATGGAATCAATTAATTATAAAAATCGGATTGGTTGTTGGTGCGCTTGACCTGGGACGAAAATTCCTACAGAGTGGGACAGCATAATCGACATGGCTCAGAAATTAAAGCAATCCAAACTGCATATAATTTGAAACAAAACTGTACATAGACATACAAGGACGTTCCCCAGTTCTTCAAGATTAGATATAACCATACGCCAAGATCATATCTGTTAAAATGTCTTATTAAAAAGTAAAACATGGATGAAACTATACAGGGTGACTTTGAAGTTGAGTCATTAATTTCCAGATAATGATTGTAGAAGGAAGATAAACCAAAATATGTGTGTAAAAATAAAAAAAAAATAAAAAAAAAATTTTTACCTTGTTTTATAAAGTATCCTCCCGACAAGTATTTCAGTGCGGACCTGTATTTGATCGTGAGGTCCCCTGTGAGGTCTTAAGTCACCTGATTCACGAGCACGTTGTACTACATTAACAAAGGCACGAGGGGTTGGTTGCACTCGATTGGGAAACCGATCCGCATAAACATGTGCCATTTTTTATTTCGTTTGAGCCACGCAACAGATACCACTATTCACTGACACTGACTGTATACAAATGAATGAAATAAAAACATCGTTCCAAATTCTTTCGCTTTTTTGTTTCCGATGCGATGAACCGATACGGCGGATTATATCCGTTGTCGCCAAACACGAGGACATAATATTATTATTGAGACAGGGCGGTACTCAAACTTCCAAAGGGCTATAACTTTGTTACTTTAATTTTACCAGAAAAATGGTAAAGGAAAAAAACATTTATTTTGATCAGATCTACTCACTGTTAAAATAAATGACTCAACTTCGAAGTCACCCTGTATATAAACAACTGTTCCTAAGAGTCCAATAAAATACCAACGCTTATTGCCCAGGTGTGCCGTACAGAGATTCTTACTTAAAATTCTACGCATAACTGCATTCCAGTTTTCAATCGGAACTTCAAGGCACGCCACTCAAACCAAGAATACTTCGACAGACCTAATTTGATTATTGGTTTTTGAACTGCACACAGAATCAGAAACATTCTGGAAAGTTATATTGATTTGTACTTAAGAGGAAGTACCGTTCGGATATTTGATGAAAACTATCAAGTTTTTGAAAATCGGTCCAGTGGCGACGGAGAAAAAGGCCAAAAATGAAAAATTAAAAATCGCACAAACGTTTTTTGAGGTTTCAGATGGACCCGTTCACCTTTGAAATTTTCTTTAGGGGTCAAAAATCGGAGAAATCGCAATTATTTGCCCACAGCATATATTTATAAACAACTCTCCTAAACATATTTGACATATTTCACACATATATTACCGATAGGAGTCGTAAGTGTCGTCAAATATATATGGAAAAAGACATACTTCTATTATACATATTTTAACTGCGTGTATATATTTTGTATACCAAACTAGTCGGAACATATGAAGACAGCAATGTTTCAGCAACAGCTACTATATCGAAATCCATATCATTAACAGTGGATGAACGGTCCACCATTCAAGGAAGAATCATTCTGGTATAAATGTGATTAAATTTAATGTCAGCGATAGTCCAGATTATCAAAATAATTCTTGAAATCTGAGCAACTACTAGAGAAAGACACGTTATCAGTTGACAGAATTTACTGGTTTTGTTAACATTGAGATAGTTTATGCATTTGAAAACAGGATACTTACAATCGTCATTAGCTTTATGATTTTAGGAGCAATAGGACTATGCAAGAGCAGATGGAAAATGTTTGTCTTAAAACACTTCAACACACGAATATGATCACTCACATGCGATTTCTTCCATCCTATAAACAGGTTATTTTTCTGTAAGAAGACATTCAGGACACAGTTCTACGACGATGATTGTAGTGTCGCAATGCTTCAGTTTTATAACGAATTTTATATGACTGATGCTTGTCATCAAGATTGTTCAGAACGACAATATTTTTTATTATCAACGCCGGTGAATCAAAACCTTCGAGGATACCGTTCTTGACGAGGATACGTGAATTAAGATTCTTAGCATCCAGGATTGAATTTTTGAACACATGCTCTTTAACCAAGCTTTTTGAATGTTTGACATATTACTTGATTTGTTGGTATCCTCACATGCATAAAAAAATAAAATGATTTTTCTTCTTCAGCATGACATGATCCGTGTCTCTGTACCTATTTCGATCGAAATATCCAACAAATCCTAAATATAGTTCACCATACCACCGAGATCATAGACCTTCTGCCACAGAAGACATTTTTCGCCACAAGCACTCCATTTTCACCATCTGTTGCCAAGTATCTAAAGGCTGAATGCTATTTTAGCTTATCTTTTAAGTAAAAATAAATGAGTATGATTTTGTTTTGGTCACTATTAAATGGCAATGGTTAAATATAGGTGGAGGAATTCACTTCCTACACCATAACAATGTTTTAAATAGATACTTATTTACTGTTACTACACTTGTTACGCATCTGCTTATTTCATTACTGCAATCAAAAGTGGTGTATTACTGCCAAAATTAATCAGAATATTGTAGCAAACAACTCATTCCTGAGCTTAATCTTTTATACTGGCGATGCAAAAAGAAATCATTTACATCACATAGAACTGACCATCTGACCAAGATTTAAGATCACTTTAAAAGTGAAGCTTATCCATAAAACATTAGATACATCAGATTCGGAAGTTGTTCAAAAAATCAGATGTAAAAATTCACGGCTCATCAAAAAAAAAATATTTACGCAAATTGAGATTACTTAGCGCGGTTTCACACACACCGATATTATCGGTGTCGTTATCGGTATCGGTATCGGTTTGCCTAACAAATACAATACATTGCCTTAAATGAATAGTTTTACACAAAAACCGACCCGATAAATATATCGGTGGCCGTGTTCGATATCGTTGCGTCTGTCGGATGGTCGAGTTAAAATCGGCCAGTAAATTATCGCCCGGTTTAGTACGCAATGCAAACTAAATAGGCACATTCACACGTTCCGACTTGTCGTTATCGGTGTGTCATATCACTTTTGAAACTCAGTGTCGCACGAGTAGTTTGGCGTATTGACTGGTTGCTGGAACACGGGTTATACTTAATATGAGTGTGACTAAATTTAATTACGACATTGTTACACTCATTGAATTTGTGGAAGCAAGGCCCTGTTTGTGGAATAAATTTTCCGAGACTTACAAAGACAAGATATTGAAAAAACGTGAGTGGAAAGAAGTGCATAAATACCTTGAAGCCAATTTCGATAATTTAAATGAACAAGAACAGCAAAAAATTGGTAAGTGCATGTTTTTACCTGTATTTATTCACATTTACAGCCTACGTTACAGATCTAGGTTAGTACATATGTACCTATTTGAGCTTTAAACTTAAAGAACACTTGCCTAAATGTAAAAGTAATATCTAAGTATAAAGACATTAAATAGAACCAGAAGCAGTAACTTATGCGCTAAATTTTAGACATTTGCCATGGTAAGGATCCCTCTGGACTTACAAAGAATTCTGCAAATTTATCGCGAACATCATTGGCAGCTCGTCCACCGCGACATGCTGTAGTTGGTGGTAGATTTTGTAGCTCTCTGTCTGGTGCGTACATATCTTCTACACGAGTGCCATCTTTTTCTCGAACTAGGTTGTGCAAAATTATGCACGCTTTAACAATATCTTTTGCGTACTCCTTACCAACATTTATGGCTCTGTGAAATATTCGCCACTTATTCACTAATATACCGAACGAACATTCTATGTACCGTCGCGCTCGACATAAGCGATAATTGAAAATTCTTTTATTAATATTTAAACTATGGCCCCCATATGGCCTAAGTAAATTCTGGGAAAGTGCAAATGCTTCGTCTCCAACTAAGACGAATGGTAGATTGTCTCCTGTTGAAATTAGGGGGCTTGGGTGGGGAATATTCAAGGCATTTTGTTGTAATAATTTCCAAAACACGGTTTCTTTAAATACTGATGAGTCGCAATCCTTACCAAAGGCACCTATGTCTACGTATATAAAGCGGTAATTAGAATCCGCAATAGCCATTAGGACTATCGAAAAAAAATGTTTATAATTCAAATTCATCGATCCACTGCCTGGAAACTTCATAATGCGGACGTGTTTCCCGTCCACAGCTCCTATGCAGTGCGGAAACTGAGCATTTCTTGTAAATCCATCAGCAATGTCCTTCCAATTTTCTACTGTTGGAGTTGGAAGATATTCATCTTTCAAAATATTCCAAATACTATGACAAACATCTTTTATAATCTTGCTTATGGTTGAAACTCCTAATCTGTAGGCATAATGCATATCCGTGAACGTGTTTCCACTTGCCAAATATCTGAAAAAAATATCTATGTATACCATCTATTTCAGGTGACGCTATTACAACAAAGTGGCAAAATATAAGAGATGCGTTTGTTAGATCCCTTAAGAAAAAGAGTGGACAGGGTGCACAACGAAAATATGTTTACCATGATCAGCTGCAATTTTTGTTACAAGTTATGAATAAAGATGAAACGATCTCTAGTATTTCGGATGAGGAAGTGCACCAAGGAGAAGAAACTGAAAATTCAAATGAGGTCCCACCTACACCAGCAATATCTAAAGCCAGTTCAAGAAGTTCCCATGCAAGTAAAACTCGCCAAGGCCGCAAGAGGCTTGCAGACCCCATTGAATTGGAAATTAGGAAAAAACTAAATGAACCTTCCAATGAAGATGAGTCATTCTTCAATTCCGTTGTTCCTATGATAACAACAATGTCAGAAGAGGAAAAAATTGAGTTTAGGATGGGAGTCCTGCAGCTAATTCAAAAAATTAAACGAAATCGTCACATAAGCACCTCTAGCATCACCTTTTCTACTTCTCCTGTGTCTGATTTCTCTGCAGTCTCATCTCCGTCATATACTATTCTACAAGCAGCAAACCCATCAACGACAAACTATCAGTCGTTTTTTCAAGAAGGGTCATATATATCAACAAGTAGCACCTCACAAGATGTTTCACAACATTGCCAAAATAGTGTATGAATTATTTTTATTGTCAAAGATAAGTTTATGTAAGAATTTTTATATGTTATGTTACTTTAAATGCAAATAAAGAATTTCCTTAATCACTTACCTCAGTGTTATTGCCAGCATTTCTTTTGGAGGTACACATAATCTCATTTGAGTATCTTGTCTTTGTAAGCTACATGATAACTTTTCTAGTAAGTAGTCAAATGTAGCTGTGCTCATTCTGAAGTAGTTAAAAAACTTTTCATCATGCTCGCGAAATTTTTCAAACATTGTATAAAATGCTCCTTCTACATATTTTTGAGATAATATGGGATGGACCCAATATCGTCTTCGTCTTTTTTCTCGACACTTCTTTTTTCGCAAATACAGCAAATATAATAAAAACACAGCTTTTTTGTTCATATTAAATAATAAACTGTTCCGAGACGCTACACACACCGCACTGATCCCTGGCCTTTTATGAAAGACGGCGCAAAGTTTTACTTTTTTATCGGTGTGTAAGAAAGCACTCTCCGATACCGATTCCGATAACGACACCGATAATATCGGTGTGTGTGAAACCGCGCTTAGTGTGATTCATTTTAAAATTTCTGTTTCATTATTTTAATTTGTTACTCGATCAGTTCAGTCCGCTGCATTTGATACCGTATATTATTGTTTTGTGAATCTACTCTTATTCTTATACGAGTCATTTAAAGTTGACGATGTTCTGCTTTTTTTGTTTTAAACGCATAAGCGCGGTTTCACACACACCGATATTATCGGTGTCGTTATCGGTATCGGTATCGGTTTGCCTAACAAATACATTGCCTTAAATGAATAGTTTTACACAAAAACCGACCCGATAAATATATCGGTGGCCGTGTTCGATATCGTTGCGTCTGTCGGATGGTCGAGTTAAAATCGGCCAGTAAATTATCGCCCGGTTTAGTACGCAATGCAAACTAAATAGGCACATTCACACGTTCCGACTTGTCGTTATCGGTGTGTCATATCACTTTTGAAACTCAGTGTCGCACGAGTAGTTTGGCGTATTGACTGGTTGCTGGAACACGGGTTATACTTAATGAGTGTGACTAAATTTAATTACGACATTGTTACACTCATTGAATTGGTGGAAGCAAGGCCCTGTTTGTGGAATAAATTTTCCGAGACTTACAAAGACAAGATATTGAAAAAACGTGAGTGGAAAGAAGTGCATAAATACCTTGAAGCCAATTTCGATAATTTAAATGAACAAGAACAGCAAAAAATTGGTAAGTGCATGTTTTTACCTGTATTTATTCACATTTACAGCCTACGTTACAGATCTAGGTTAGTACATATGTACCTATTTGAGCTTTAAACTTAAAGAACACTTGCCTAAATGTAAAAGTAATATCTAAGTATAAAGACATTAAATAGAACCAGAAGCAGTAACTTATGCGCTAAATTTTAGACATTTGCCATGGTAAGGATCCCTCTGGACTTACAAAGAATTCTGCAAATTTATCGCGAACATCATTGGCAGCTCGTCCACCGCGACATGCTGTAGTTGGTGGTAGATTTTGTAGCTCTCTGTCTGGTGCGTACATATCTTCTACACGAGTGCCATCTTTTTCTCGAACTAGGTTGTGCAAAATTATGCACGCTTTAACAATATCTTTTGCGTACTCCTTACCAACATTTATGGCTCTGTGAAATATTCGCCACTTATTCACTAATATACCGAACGAACATTCTATGTACCGTCGCGCTCGACATAAGCGATAATTGAAAATTCTTTTATTAATATTTAAACTATGGCCCCCATATGGCCTAAGTAAATTCTGGGAAAGTGCAAATGCTTCGTCTCCAACTAAGACGAATGGTAGATTGTCTCCTGTTGAAATTAGGGGGCTTGGGTGGGGAATATTCAAGGCATTTTGTTGTAATAATTTCCAAAACACGGTTTCTTTAAATACTGATGAGTCGCAATCCTTACCAAAGGCACCTATGTCTACGTATATAAAGCGGTAATTAGAATCCGCAATAGCCATTAGGACTATCGAAAAAAAATGTTTATAATTCAAATTCATCGATCCACTGCCTGGAAACTTCATAATGCGGACGTGTTTCCCGTCCACAGCTCCTATGCAGTGCGGAAACTGAGCATTTCTTGTAAATCCATCAGCAATGTCCTTCCAATTTTCTACTGTTGGAGTTGGAAGATATTCATCTTTCAAAATATTCCAAATACTATGACAAACATCTTTTATAATCTTGCTTATGGTTGAAACTCCTAATCTGTAGGCATAATGCATATCCGTGAACGTGTTTCCACTTGCCAAATATCTGAAAAAAATATCTATGTATACCATCTATTTCAGGTGACGCTATTACAACAAAGTGGCAAAATATAAGAGATGCGTTTGTTAGATCCCTTAAGAAAAAGAGTGGACAGGGTGCACAACGAAAATATGTTTACCATGATCAGCTGCAATTTTTGTTACAAGTTATGAATAAAGATGAAACGATCTCTAGTATTTCGGATGAGGAAGTGCACCAAGGAGAAGAAACTGAAAATTCAAATGAGGTCCCACCTACACCAGCAATATCTAAAGCCAGTTCAAGAAGTTCCCATGCAAGTAAAACTCGCCAAGGCCGCAAGAGGCTTGCAGACCCCATTGAATTGGAAATTAGGAAAAAACTAAATGAACCTTCCAATGAAGATGAGTCATTCTTCAATTCCGTTGTTCCTATGATAACAACAATGTCAGAAGAGGAAAAAATTGAGTTTAGGATGGGAGTACTGCAGCTAATTCAAAAAATTAAACGAAATCGTCACATAAGCACCTCTAGCATCACCTTTTCTACTTCTCCTGTGTCTGATTTCTCTGCAGTCTCATCTCCGTCATATACTATTCTACAAGCAGCAAACCCATCAACGACAAACTATCAGTCGTTTTTTCAAGAAGGGTCATATATATCAACAAGTAGCACCTCACAAGATGTTTCACAACATTGCCAAAATAGTGTATGAATTATTTTTATTGTCAAAGATAAGTTTATGTAAGAATTTTTATATGTTATGTTACTTTAAATGCAAATAAAGAATTTCCTTAATCACTTACCTCAGTGTTATTGCCAGCATTTCTTTTGGAGGTACACATAATCTCATTTGAGTATCTTGTCTTTGTAAGCTACATGATAACTTTTCTAGTAAGTAGTCAAATGTAGCTGTGCTCATTCTGAAGTAGTTAAAAAACTTTTCATCATGCTCGCGCAATTTTTCAAACATTGTATAAAATGCTCCTTCTACATATTTTTGAGATAATATGGGATGGACCCAATATCGTCTTCGTCTTTTTTCTCGACACTTCTTTTTTCGCAAATACAGCAAATATAATAAAAACACAGCTTTTTTATTCATATTAAATAATAAACTGTTCCGAGACGCTACACACACCGCACTGATCCCTGGCCTTTTATGAAAGACGGCGCAAAGTTTTACTTTTTTATCGGTGTGTAAGAAAGCACTCTCCGATACCGATTCCGATAACGACACCGATAATATCGGTGTGTGTGAAACCGCGCTAAGGCTACTTGCACACACACCGATTTTGGACGACCGGTAAAATATCAGCCGATCACATTTTAATAGTAAACCATTGGAGGGCATTGAAGCTTGCTCACTGGCCGACCACCGACCGGCACCGGAAAAAAGCCTGTTAACAGCCGGACGTTGTCAGCCTACTTGCACACACACCGATTCTGGACGGCCTGTAAAATATCGGCCGACGACATTTTGATAGTAAACCATTGGAGGGTATTGAACACTGGCCGACAACCGACCGACACCGGAAAAAAGCCGGTTAGCAGCCGGACATTGTCACTGTGATGCGCCGGTACCGGGAATATACAGGGTGTTCCTTAATGATATGCGAATATTTAAGGGTGTGAATCTACATGAAAAATTAATGTTAGTTTGCTTTATAAACTATGGTCCAAAAATATTTCCTTACAAAAACTCCGGGTGTTGAAGTTTTAGGAAAAAAAATGGAAATTAACTAATATTTTCAGAATCCCTTCAGATATTTCACTGATATTTAGTACGTAGTGAAAGTTAATAAAGTTGCATATTTTTCAATGCAAATTCGATATTTTTTAAGAAAAAATTGGTACGCCAATGGTTTTTTGCCAGATAAAACTTACTTTTGAATTCCACGTTCAATTTAAAACAAATGATCTCTCTTGAGTTGCTTTCCTTCGATGCGCCAGTTTTGAGTAAAAAAATAAAAACCGTTCTATTGTCCGAGAAAATTAATGTAATAATTAATTAGTAAAAGAATGCAATTTAGCAATAAATATCTAGTTGCTCTGGAGTATGTCACTGGCTTTTGACAGCACCGATAAAAAAACGGTTGATATTTTACCGGGCGTCCAAAATCGTTGTGTATGCAAGTAGGCTGACTCAATAGCCAGTAGACCAATTTACAAAACTTACAAGCGTTGTCCATCATTGGTACGGTACGATTTTGTACGACCTAAGAAGGTCGCCAACCGTTGCGCAACGGCCGACAAACCCTGCAAATAAGTAATAATTGTGCACCAATAGAGGATATTTCAGGACATGTGCTAGTTTTTCAATGTTTCAGTCAAAGATGCGGAGTTATCATCCGAAATGAAATTCAAACAAATGTTCCTATTAAAATAGGTGAAAAAAATAATAATCAAGAAGTAGGGACGTTTAAAATGATGAAAGGAAACTATTGTTTTTATTTTGTTGTCTCTGATAGAAGACAACAGTTCTATTTAAACGGTTAAATTGGCTTGTGGCCTACAGGTAGACCTACGTAGGTTTAGGCTGCTTGTATGATCGCACTCAGAAAGGGGGAGGGGGCTGAGATCATTGGCAAGAGACAACCTCTTGTGAAAGCGTACTTGCTTCCAAAACTTTCTGAAGAGAGAGAGGGATAGCCAATTATCTCAAGGGAGGGGGGCAATACAAAAAAAAACAAAATTCCACAATCCACATATCTTGGAATAATGATTTTGTAAGCGTAAATCGCCTGATTATCATCAAATCAGTCCATTCCAAATCATGCAAAAACAAAAAACTTCACAAAATTTCATTCCACATCACACTACAGACATACATATAGTCAACGCCAAACAAAGTGGCGTACACGTCATCACGATAAAAATTCCCCGACCTAATGCCTAGGTTTCTATCACAAACAATTGCTCTATTGCAGTTTCATATTAATGTGATATATAAATTGTAAAATGGTCATTACTCTCTTATTATGGTTAATAGTCATATAAACATTGTTATTAAAATATCACATAAGTTGCTTTATGATAAATTTAGACGCATTATGCGAAATAAAATGTTTTGCAAACGCTCCAATCACTTATCGACATGTAAACGCACTAAACCGATTTCGCAGCGTTGACACATTGTCACCTTGAAACTTATTTAAACTGGGAACTGACATTTGTATTAATTTTGACACTGAATCAATTTGTGGCATTTCAAATCTTTATAAATCCTTTGGCCCCGCATACGGTAAATCAACAACTGTTTGTTTCAAAACAAAATTATTCAT